AAAAAAAAAAGATAGGCTAAAACACAGAGATGGAAGAAATGATAGGACACTCCCACCACTAAGGATCAACTTTTTAAAAAACTCAAGCAGATTCTCATTACTGTCATTATGTGGTTAAATGTGCTTATTGTAATCCAACTTGTGAATTAGTTTAGCTAAGCCCCTCTTCATAATTTTAAAAATTAACTCAGACAAACCAAAGTAAAATGAGCAGTGATCCAATTGCTAGTGTTTGGTCTCAGTGCATGCATTCAGCAAGCACCCTAAATACAAACTTAAAGCCTGTTTTAGGCTTTAACTTAGGTGGTCTTAAAATTTCACTTACTTAAATACTAAATTAAAATGCTAATGAAAATAAGACAGAAGACCTTTATTCAGCTACATAGTTTTCCAGTTCAGATCTCAAATGAAGTAATTTTCTAAAATAAACACCATAAAGGAATCCTAGTAAATGCTACATATTTTTTTCCCTGTTATAAACAACTGGTTTCACAACTTTTTTCTTATTAGGGAAAAAAAAAATTCTCACTGACCTTAAAATAAAGTTTCCTCACTAAGAAATCTATGCTTTTAACACTCCTCCTCACATGTACACACTATGTTGCCCAATGAAACATGAAACATTTTTGATAGCGATCCTTATATAAACAAGGAATTATTATATTATAAGAAATTATTATATTATCCCAAATTATTTATAACAGTTAATTAAATTTGAAATTCTTCAAACAGCACTAACAGAGACCACTAACTGGAACTATTTCATTATTCTGTAGAGATCTTGAGTGGAACTTACAATATAGGGTTCCATATCTTGCCATTTTTAAAAAACCAACCAGCCATTTTTAATGAAAACACCTAATCCATCTCAAAGCCTACTCCTTCAAGTTTTCCTTTTCTTCTCTGGTTATCAGTACGGTTGCGTTATACTCAGATATTAGATCTGCAGACGACCACTGACCACCTCATCAAAAATAAAAATACTAAACCTTACTAAGAGACATGGTTTATTCATGACCCTTTAAGAAAAAAAAATTAGTATCATGCTGATTAGTACTTAATAAGCCTGTGTTGAACTACTATTAACTCTAATTTGCCACACTTAGTTTTCATTTATAAAATAAGAGTTAAAGTAAATCTCTAATTAAAAGTCCCTTGCAGGGCCGGCCCATGGTTCAGTTGAGAGAGTGTGGTGCTGACAACACGAGGCCACAGGTTCGGATCTCTATACAGGGATGGCCGGTTAGCTCACTTGGTAGAGCATGGTGCTGACAACACCAAGTCAAGGGTTA